TCCCCATGGGGAATGCTGGTAGCTCGGCTGCACTGCATTAGGCATATGCCCCTTCGCAGAGGTAGAGATGATGGGCAGGGAACATGAGGGAACCCCGAATTTGGCGACCATCCAATTCTTCTCCCCATGGACCCCTCCCACTTCACTTCTTCACCTTCCTGTCTTTTTCGGGGCAGAGAAGATCACGTTCAATTAACATTTATTGAGGGCCTACCAGGTACTGAACCCCAGTGTCAAACAATTTGTAGACAAGAACTCAGACCGTTCTCTGCACATGCTGTCCCCTCCGCCTGGAAACCGCTTCCTCCCCTTATTCACAGTGACACCTTAAATGTCGCCTCTCCAGCAAAGTGCCTGCCCAGGTGAGAATGTCCTAATGGTCCCTCAGGACACATGTGACAAATGTAATTGTTCCTGAGTTTGCAGTCTCTCCCCCAAGCCAGACTCAGCTTCCTGTCATAAGAAAAGCCAGTGTTGGGCAGACTGAGTGGCTCGTTGGTTCAGAGTTGGCTTGGGAGCGCGAGCTCTGAGCAACAGGGACGCCAGTTCGGATCCCACATGGGCAAGTGACACTGTGCCCTCTACAGCTAAGATGGTGAACAACAGCTCAACCTGGAGATGGGCTGCCATGAGTTGTGGGCGACGGCGTAGGTGCAGTGAAGCTGCAGTGGGCTCCCATAAGCTACCATGAGTGACCGGCAGCCACCGTGAGTCACCATGAGCGGCTGTCCAATGGCCGGGGACCGACTGCCTCACCCGGGAAGAGCGGCAGTGATCACAATAACAACATGGGCCAGTGAAGCGACGTCCTCTACAACTAGACTGAAGAACAAAAGGACAGCAACTTGTTTGTTCCCCTTCCCCGATTCCCCAACGCTGTTCCCTCCACCAATTCTCCCATAAAATCTTTTTAAAAAAAAGAAAAGAAAAGCCAGTGTTTACTGAGCATGTACTATGTGCCAGGTGCTGCGCTGAGCTCCATGTAGACATTAAGTCATGGCAGTCACATGACAGCTGCACTATTATTAGTCCCATCTTACAGATGAAGGAAACTGCCTCATTTTCCTCCTATTTTTAAAGACTGGAAATTAGTAAGCAATCTGCCCAAGGCCACAGGGATAAGAGAGAGAGGATTCGAACTACATCTCCCAGTTCTCAGTCCAGGGCCCGGGACTGCTCAGCTCCGTATGTCCCTCTCTCCCCAATGCCCAGGGGGTGTTCCTTTGTCCTGTGCTGCCAGTCACCATTTTTGGCCCCTTCCTGAATTCTTGGCCTCCTCTCCCAAAGCACCCAATTCAGAAGGCTTCCCCGGCTCTTCCCCTCACATCTTCTACCCATTGGTTCCCACAATCAGTTCCCACACCGGACCTCAGCTGTGCTTCAACAGGTCTTGTGCAAAGACCCTAACCTTTCGGCCCCGAGGCACAGGAACTAGAGCAGCTGCATGAATGCCAGTGGCCAGACACCCAGCACAGCACCCAGCACATCGGGCAGGTAAAGTAAGCATCTCCTCCGTGAACCCATGTGGGATCCAGTAGTTAACCTGGCTTCCCGGCTCCAGTTCCCACTCTGTCCTCACTCTCCTCTGCCTGTATTTATAGCGCTGGTGAGCATGGGCAAGTGAACAGCCACCATGGCTCTCGAATGGGAAAGGGGGCCCCATGTCTACTCCAGGTCTATGGCATGAGAAGTAGGTGAGGACCCGTGGCATCCAGGAAGAACTTGGGTTCCTGCGCAGTGGGGCCAATTCACAGCCAGCCACACAGGCCAGTTTTAGAGCAGACACCAGTGGGCTCCAGAGGCCTGTCCTGGGTCACACAAGGTCATAAAGACCAGAAGCTGCTGGAAGAAGCGAAAGGCAGCAAGGACTAAAAAGAATGCCAGTGACCCAGGGGAAAGCAAAGGAGAAGGGGGCCGGATCCTCTTGGGGTTCTCTGAGGGAATAAAGGAAGGGGACAGATGCTCATACTGTCCCGTAATGCACGGCCGAGGATGTCACTTCCTTCAGGAAATTTCCAGGGCTCCCTGTTGGCCACACCAGAGTCAAGTTGAAACTCTTTGGCGGGGCCTTCAGAAGTTTTCATGCCCAGGCCCACCACAGCCACTTCTAGGAGGCCAGGTATTTCAGGCCTCTACGCCTCTGCCCAGGGGCTCCTCTGCCTAGAAGCCCCTCTCTTTCTCTGGGGGTGGAGCACTCCTCATCCCTTAAGTCACACAACATTTTGCTTCTAGGAAGACTTCTGGGACACCAGGAGGTTAGTGGGGGAAGAGCCACGGCCTCTCAGAGGTCTGGTTCAAAGCTCCACCAACCTGCTCTGCTTTGTAACCTCCTCGGCAAGGCGTGAGGGTAACTGTTCCCACCTCTCTGGGTGGTAGGAGGAAGAAACGCACTATTGCATGCAAGTGCTTTGAACTGTGCCTGGCACACAGTACATGTTTAATAAACAAGCTGTATTTCCTATTGTCCTCCAGCCCCTTTAGGGCCCTCTGTTTCCATCACAAGTAGAGCACTGTCTCACACATGTTTGCTGCACTCTGGACTCCCTCAGACAACCACAGCCTTTTGAAGGCACAGAACACGACTCAAGCCCAGCACAGAGCCAGGCACACAGTAGGTCTTCAATGAGTACTCACTGCCCGTGAACGTCCTGTGGCAGACCCTACACAGAGCTCTCCCAGGGCCCAGCTGCCGGCAGTCCACAACTCACACACCAAATCCCGTCTACAGGCCCCGCTGAGACAGAAGGGCCTTGGCTGTTACTCGGTTTCCAAACAATAAAGGGCTGTACTCTGTCTTACTGAGGCTGTTTCCACTCCAGGGAATTTATGGGGAGAAATGAGCACAGCAGGGACTGGAAATAGCACTGAGCCCCTCTTGGGGAGAGAGCTGGGCTGGCCCACCAGGAACCAGGAGCAAAACCTCAACAGCAGAGGGGAGAAAGCAACCTCCAGACAAAAGCCCGAGCTCCAGAGAACTCGGCCAACACGAAAAAACTAGGACAGGGAGCTCACTCGCACTCATTCCGCCGCGAAGCTCTCCTTCCTACCGACCTGGAAAGCTTTAGACGGGGTTCCTTGTATAACCCACAACCACGTGGGAGCAGCCTACAACACATCCAAAATCCCAAGGGCTGCACAGAGGAGCCCCAGGTTGCTGGTGGGTCTCAGCGGGGAATTCACAGTGCCTTCTCCACCCATACTGGCCTTTGGGACCTTTTGTCTGCTTTGGGGTCACAATCTATGTCCATCTCCACAGCAGACTGGGAGGCCCTAGAAGCTGGGCACCAGGTCCCATTCATCTTCAGACCCCTGTGCCCTTAGCTGCCTGGTGCATAGCAGATGCTCAGTAAGTTACAAGGCGGCAAGAGAAAGGTTCTGGTTCAAGGACCTATGGTTGGTACCCCTCTGGGACTGTTTCCTCAAGTGCAAACTGGGATAATGAGTTCTGCACTCACACAACCATTGAGAGAATAAACTGGGAAAATACTTGTGGAAAGCACCAAAGCATCAGATGAATGCTAGTCACCCTTCAGGCTTCTGCTCAGCTGTCCCCTCGTGTCTTTTCTGCTGGCCATGTTGCCCTCTTCCAGCACTGAACCCACTCTGCACACCCTGTGTTGTTTTATATCTCTTCACATCTTTGTGATTCCTGCTTTCTGCTTCATTCCCCCACCGACCTGAGAAGGCCTGGAAACAGAGACATCATGTGTGTGTCCGTCAAGGCCTGACAAAATGGGCACTCGGGGCTGGCTGCTGGGGCCCTCCCACCCCCCAAGCCCCAGTTCTGACACACACACACACCACCACCCCCACTCCCACCCCCCACCCACAAGATGAACTGATGTACAGAGCCTCCGGGGCCCACCAACCAGGCTGCAAAGGGAGATGGGAAAGGACGCTGCGAACATCACCTGTGAAGGAAGTCTCATCTTTGAGGCCTGAGCCTCCTCTGCAGGTGCAGGTGAGCTGCCTGGCTGGCTTCGCAGCACAAGGACCTCCAGGGCAGACTGCTGTTTCTTGCCTTACATAAAGCACCTGGCAGTCAGATAAATAATACATGGCCTTCACCTCACACATAAGTATCAGGCGTGCCAACACCTGCTTTGCGCCATGGTGCCCTGGGTGTGTGTGTGTGTGTGTGTGTGTGTGTGAGAGAGAGAGAGAGAGAGAGAAAGGGAGAGAAAGAGACAGAGAAAGAGACAGAGAGGGAGACAGAGAGACAGATGGGGGGGGGGAGAAAGAAATGCCTGGCCTTGCACAACCCCAGAGGGGATATGGATTGGGAGATACCCATGTTCACTTCCAACCCCTCTGCCTTGCCATGGCCTACAGCCAACTAGATCTAGACCCCAGCAGTGCACCCAGGGAGGAAATGCACCACCCAGAGGACAGATACACACACCCCAGCCTCTATGGTCTCTTCTGAGGCAAGTACCCTTGGAGTCCCAGGTTTCTGTCGGTGCCCCTGCAAACAGCTGACCTGTATGCAAGGCGTGTACACCCTCCATGCAACCATCCCCAAAGGCCTCGCCAGATCACAGCCACCCGCACAAGGCACGGATGCCTCCTCCACTCACTTGGCGGTGCCAGGCGCCAGCACACCCACCGGGCACACACAATCCCACTTGCAAAAGAGCCTGTCCATCCGCCTCCCTTCTCCCCAGCCACCCCCACGAGCAGGTCCGATTACACTCCAGACGCGGGCGCCGCCACGTTGGCGGGGAAGGGGCCAGGGCACACCCACGGGCGGCCCCGCGACCCGGCTGGGCGAACTGGGGGCGCAGGGCGGGACCGGAGGGATGGGCGGGGCGGCGGATGCTCCCTCCTGGCTCCGCCAAGCCGGCCGCCTTCGTCCCTTTCCTGCCCGGGAATCCGCGGTCAACGCGACCCTCGGGGCGCCCCCCGCACGGGCCTCTCCAAAACGAAGTAGCCCTCCTCCCCCCGAGAGTCCGCAGCCGCCCCCCTCTTGGCCTCTGGCTCGAGACCGACCAAGCTGGTACCTCAGGAGCCCATCGCGGCGGCAGCGGCGGCGGTGGCGTGTGCGGACGATGCGCGGCGGCCAGACTCTGCGGGCGGGGCGGGCGGGCGGCGCCGCAACCCCGGAGTCTCACCGCCGCGGGCTCGTCCTGGACCCAGAGATGTGCCGCCGCGGCGCGCCTGCGCACTGAGCGCGCCTCCGGGGAGGGCGGGTCAGCGAGTGCGCGGCTGAGATCACCCGCGCAGCCTTAAAGGGGCCACTCCCGGAACACCCCGCTCGCCGCCGAGTGGTGGAGGCGACCCAGGTTTTCTTGATGCTGGCAGACAAACTGGCCAAGACTTGCCTCCCCCGCCTCAATCTGACTCCCCAACCCTGTCCATCACAGAGCTTCTTGGGGTGCAAGGACAGGGTTTTGGGCTCTAAGCTCTGTTTCACTCTCTGCTGCTTCAGATCTGTTAACCCTAATTTCCTTCACTTGGGCCTGTTTTGAAGATAAAACAATATACTATAATGGCTATTTGTCGAGTGAAGGATGCGTGCAGAATTGCATGAAATGAATGTATTCCGAAGAGCTTTGTGCAACCACGCAGAGAAAGAGGCTCTTTCTCCCCACCCGGCTTAGTGGCGCTTCTTTCTTGCCCCACCTTGCTCTAGGCGACCTAACTAGCAAAGTTTTTCAGATGTCATTCAAGCCTACTAGCCCGGTTGCTGTTTGCCACCTTACACCGGTTAGGTTAACTGAAAAACAAAATCCAATCAAGTTCTGGCATCGATGTGCTCAAGATCCCCAAATGTATTTATATCCCCCACCGACTCCCCTGAACTGTTCACTCAACACTGCTTACTTGAGATCCAATAAGCATCTCAAAGTCGACAGGCCCACAATAGAACTCATCTTCTCTCCAAACACAGACAAGACCTGCTCCCGCACAGCCTCCCTTGAACAGCAGCTGGCAACTCCATCCTTCCAGCGCTAAGGTAGAACTTCTGGAGCCGTCCTTGAATCCTATCCTCCTCCCACCCCTTTCCCAAGCTGGAGCAGGAAATCCCATGGGCTCTACCCGCAAAATACATCTATCTAGCCTCTGACCTCTCCTACCACATCTCTACTGCTAGCACCCTCGTCCAGTTTCTGCCCAGGATCATTGCAATATTCTTGCTATGGACTGAATGTTTGTGTACCCCCAAAATTCATGTGCTGAAATCCTAACCCCCAATGTGATGTTAGGAAGTGGGGCCTTTGGGGGTGATTAGGTCATAAGGCGGAGCCTTCCTGAATGGGATTTGAGTCTTTACAAAAGAGACTCCAAAGAGCCCTCTACCCTTCTTTCTGCCATGTGTGGTGTCCATGTAAGAAGGTCCAAACCTGTAGAGAATTTTTTAAAGAGTTTATTGGAGCCAAAACTGACAACAATTGCCAAGAAGCAAGATCTTAAATGCTGGGGAGAATGACAGTTTTGCCATTTCTTTTATGCATTTGAAATTAAGGCGGGAATGTAAAGATTACATGAAGGTGGGAAAAAGCAAGGAGGGGATTGGGTTACAGGACAGTTAACAAGATCCTGTGCTCTATTGAGTGTGGTTAGGCCTTATTTCAAAGGTGTGTTAACCTAGAGGCACAAAAACAATGGACAGGGCTTGTGTAAAGCAAAGATAAATCTTTGACTAAAGAAGTTATATGCCTGGGGCGTGACTACACACCATGAAGAAATTTATGAGATCACTCTGTGATGTTACTTTTCTTAGAACCCCTTTTTTGTCCACAGAGGAAACAAGTCAGCAGTCTGCAACCCAGAAGAGCGATCTCACCAGAACCCAATCAAGCTGGCACCCTGATCTCAGAATTCCAGCCTCCAGAACTATGAGAAATAATTTTCTATTGTTCATAAAGCACCCAGTCTACAGCTCTTTGCTATATAGCAGCCCAAACTGACCGGGATTATTGCAATGTTCTCCTAACCCATTTCTCTTTTCCCAGACTTGCCCACTGCCCCAGCCTATGTCAATATAGGAGCCAGAGAGATTTTTTTTTTTTACCTAACTCAGAATTTGGCACTTCTTTGCTCAAAACCCTCCATTGGCTCCCCCTTTTCACTCTGAGTAAAAGCCAAGTCCTTCCAATCTCTACAAAGTCTTGCTTGATCTGACATTCTACCCACCCAGGCATGTCTGACCTTATGGCCTCTACTTTCCTGCCACACAGACCCCTTGCCATTCCTCGAACCATCCAAGCACACTCAGCTTCCAGCCATTTGCACTGGCTGTTCCTTCTGCTGGGATTGCTGTTCCCTTGGATATCAGAACGGTCGCCCCCTCACCCTCTTCAGGGTTTGCTCAGATGTTGCCCACTCACTGAGGCCTGCCCTGACCATCCTAGTAAAATGGCCAGACCACTCACATGCTCTCCTGATTCCCCCCACTCCATGCTGTTTTTTTCCCCATATCACTTAATTTCTATCATAACATATAGTTTGCCTGTTGTACCGTGTGTCTTTCACCAGTTGAACATAAACTCTGAGGACTAAGATTTTCGTCCTTTTTGTTTCCTGATATAATCCCAGCACTTAGTACAAGGACTGGCATAGAAAACACACTCAAAAAGTATTTGTAGCATGCACAAAGATCCTCTAGAAAGAGTTCTATAGAAAAATTCCTTCCCAGCCCCAGGTGGCAAGTGGCTCAGGGCTATCCCAACACCCAGACCAAGGCTTATTATCAATTGCTTGGTAATCATTTGCTGACTTCTCAGCTCTCCTTCCTCACACACAAACCCCTCCAGGGCAAAGTCCTCTGTCAGCTATCACCACAGCTCATGCTTAGCACAGAAAGCTTATCAACCAGACAGAATCTGACATCCACAGTCCATCCCCACCCCCACCCCCACCCTGCTCCCAGAACTGTCAAGCCAAACCGCACTCAAATTCAGGTTCTTAGCCCCTTCTCATCAAGAGCACTCTTGGGTCTCAACTTACATAGGCCCCAGGCTGGTGGGGGTAGAGGCAGGTGGTGAGTATTTTTAGGCTTCTATTGCTAGAGAGGGACTCAACACAGAAAGTCACCTGGTCTGAATGACATGGCAGGTCAGCAGGTGGCACAGGGACCTCTGGTTGGTTGCTCCTTGCCTTTCCTCATTCTCTCCCCCAGGTCTTGCAAAATGAAAATAAACACCTACCCCTTTTTCTACCCCCTTCGCCACTCCATGCAACTGTACATCCATCCAGGCTCAAAGATGCCACTCACATCGGTCACCTCTCCCCAGGACGACTGCCCTGGTTCAGGTCCCCTTACTTCTGGACAATTATAACAACTGCCCAACCCAACAGGCTTCTTTTCTCCTGCCTGTTGGCTACTAAAGGAAGAATGCCTTTTTCCAGTTCCAGCAAAAAGCTACTCTTTCTTCAAAGATCAAATCAGATACTATCTTTTGGTTCTTTCTTTTCTTTTCTTTTTTTAAAGATTTTTATTGGGGAATTGGGGGGATAGGAACAGTGCTGGGGAATTGGGGAAAGGGGAACAGACAAGTTGCTGTCGTTTTGTTCTTCAATCTAGTTGTGGAGGATGTTGCTTCACTGGCCCAAGTTGGCACCATCATTGCGCTCTTCTCTGGCGAGGCAGATCAGTCGCCGGCTTCTGGACGGCCGCTCACGGCGGCTGCTGGCCGCTCACGGTAGCCCATGGCAATCCACTGCCACAGGGACTGCAGCCCACGCCGTCGCCGGCGACTCATGGCAGCCCAGCTCCAGGTTGAGCTGTTGTTCAGCATCTTAGCTGTAGAGGGCAGTGTCACTGGCCCTCATATGTGGGATCTGAACCAGTGTCCTCTGGCGTCCCAAGCGAGTTCTTAACCATCGCGCCACTCGGCCGGCCCTCTTTTGGTTCTTTCTTGAAGCTCCCTACCCCATTCTGTTTTAATTAGTTTCCCCCTAACCAAAACAAAATGGAAATAGTCTGAAACTCACGGAAGAATTGTTAAATTATGGTAAGTCCATACAATGGCATATCACATAGATATTAAAACAGCCTCTTAACACATTTCAAATAACATGGAGAAATGATTAAAAATAATATTGAGTAAAAGAGACAGTAATAAATTTGCAATGACATCCTGAACTCTTGTTAAAAGAAAGAAAAAAAAAGCTTAGAAGAAATAGAAGGAAACACAACAAATAGTTAATAGTGCGTCCTCCTAAGTGACAGAATTATGAATACTGGTTACCTTCTCTTACCCCCCCCCCCTTTGTTTCTCTGTATTTTCCAAAATGTGTTTGCAAAATGCATGCAATATTTTTAGAATAAGAAAAAAAAATAATTTGTTTTTACAAGAAAAAAGGATAATTTTCTTTAAAAATTATTTAAAGAAATGATTTATTGCTCCTTTCTGTTTTCTTCTCACTGTGCCTCATAATATTATTCTCTTCACTGTTTTCTTTCTGAACCTCATAATTCGTCTGTATGAATCTGTCTCCCCCACCCGACTGAGGGCCTCTCAAGGGTAGGGACCAAACTGGATTCTCTCAGCATCCAAAATCCACTATTAGCATCTGGCAGGGGAGTGCAGAAGAAAGAGCAGAGGCCTCAGCAGTGCAAGCTGACGCGTGGCCCAAAGCCCAGAGCTCTCCAGATCCTGCAGCCTCTGTCTCCCACTGATCCCTAAGGATACTGACGGAGCCCTGGCCAGGTGCCCTGGAGAGGCAGTGTGGTGTGGTGGGCAGAGCACAGGCCCAGCTGCATTACTTCCTAGCCTTATGCTCTTAGGCATGTGGCTTTGCCTCTCTGAGCCTCAGTTTTTACATCAATATGTATGAAAATGCCAGCACAGTACTTTCTACACAGCTGACAATCATGCTACTATCCATAGAACATGAGTGCTGAGGACACAACTAACTTCTTACCTGAATTAGACCCTTTTGGTAGCAGTGGACTGAAACCCAATTCAAACTAAGCTTAATAAAGGAAAAGAATTTACGGGCTCACTTAATTACGAAATGTAAGGCAGAGCTGGATTTGAGGTCTCACACGTGGTCATTGGGACGTTATTTCTCTCAGTTTCTGTGTGTGTGTGTGTGTGTGTGTGTGTGTGTGTGTGTGTGTGTGTTTAAATGCATAGAAAGTTTCTGGAAGTCAGCAGAATGGGCCCACACACAAATGGAGAGCAAAGAAGGACTAGATCTT